TGGAAAAAGCTCTTGGATATCTCATATCGTTGAGTCCTTCCCTGTTCCTCAAACAATTTACGGACATGTAGGAGAATAGATCTGGCATCCATCTTTTGATGTTGTCTTTGTAACTCAGGAGTCATAGAGCCCAACATATAGCACTGAGCAAGAGTGGAGTCATCAATGTACTTCACGTAGCGAGCGATCTCATCCTTGTTTGCCCCTTCTTCGGGCTTAGGCATCACTAAATCAAGGACGTACACGATTTTTCTCTGCTGTGAGAACAATTCTCAAGTTACGGAGCCAATCTGTATAATTTGGACCAGTGAGGCGGTTGACATCAAGTATGCCATGTAAGGGATTTGAAAGCGACATTTTCTGAAAATAAAGATGCAGCAGAAATGAATAACATGTAGATTTTGCAAAAATAAACTATCAAGATATGGACTTCTATCTTAATATGCTCCCACTATTTTACTAACGAGTCACGCGACACCCTCAGCACGTGAAACGGAAGACTCCGGCAGACTTCTAGTGGGGATCAGGATCCAATCAGCATTTTAGTGTAACCTCGAGGGACTCGACCAATCACACTAAGCCTAAAAGGTAGGCAACTCTTACCAATCACAACTCCTTGTGATTCCCGTCCTGTTCGGCCTCCGAATCACCATGGCCTCGAGGGACTCGACCAACCATGATGCTTGGTTAAGTCAACACCTTCGTTACAAGATAAGTCAACCATGATGCTCGGTTAAGTCTTTCCTGTGGATAGCATTCCTACATTATTCCCAATGATCACGATGTCATTCATATATAATGCCAAAAAGGTGATAGCGCTCTCACTTACCTTTCTGTACACACAAGGCTTATTTTCGTTCTGAACGAAGTCAAAAGATCTGATCGCCTCATCAAATCTTTTTTTCCAACTTCGGAAAGCTTCCTTCAGTCCATAAATGGACTTAAGCAACTTACACATCTTATCTAGGTAGTCCTTGGACACGAATCCCTCAGGCAATATCTGTCGGGAAATCTAGGGGTGACGTCACATGCGCAATAGAAGAATAGAAAACAAAAACCCTAAATTTTCCAAAAAGGTATTCGTCGACGTGCGAAGATTGGTGCGTAAAACCCAGAAAACTTAAATCCACGTGTGAGATAGTTGTGTTACCTAGGAAGAACGTATATCTCTAAATCCCTACATATCTATAGGAGAGGATAATGGAGGTCAAGCGTCCTCCTCTCTAGCGGTGATCCACACAGTAGGGTTGCGACGATACTCCTCAAATCGTTGCCTACTGAGGAAAAGAAGGGGATAGGAGAATAGGAGGTGGCAACCAAGAAGCCTCTAGCATATGAGTCTTTAGTTCTCTCCTATTTATAAAGGCTCCATATCAACTTAACCTTAATGGATCTTGCCCTATTGGGTATTGGATCTTCATCCAACTACCCAAGTCTCTTAGATTAGTGGATCTGTATCTAATAATCTTTCATTGGCTCTTATTGAATAACATTCATAGGATCTAATAATTCATAAGCTTATTGGATATATAATAAGATTGGGGCTTCGGTGGATATCTCATATATGAACCTCTACTCGTCGCAACACCTACCATATGTGTGTGACCCTCTAGGTCCAATATCGAGCTGGTCATGAGTCATACCTCTTAGAACTCCTTCTGGCTCAGTAAATTATTATCTCTATAATAATTCACTCGACTCATCGATTGTAGATGTACTAGGCCACTACGTCATAGTCCCCAAACGATATAGGGGAATCTAATCTATTGGGCTTGTATATCCTCAATTATCATGTATCTGTTCCTCATCCATCATATAGAATCTTTGAAAATTAATTTCCTCCATAAGATAAGAAAAAAGAACTTACTATCTTTGGGATCTGATGCTTCACCGTTGCTAAATACTTTAGTGGATCGACTCTATTACATAAGTTGATTCCTAACTTTTATCCCGTATTATGGCATAAGTAAGCAAAGCAGTTCTTAACTCTATCGACCCAATAGTTTGTTAATTGATCTTTACGGTGCTTTCTCTATCAATTCAATCCTTTATCCATAGAGTATAGTATATAGGCTGTATCTATTTCTTCCTATTTTGGTTCTCGTGAAGTCTCTTTATTTGCTACAGCTGATAAAAATCGTTGCTTTAGACGATGCATATGTAGAAAGCCTATTTTTTCTAGTCTTTACTAGTCGATTGGATCTTTTTTTCCTTCTTTCTATAGTGGAGATAGTCGCACGTAATTGTTGGGCTGGCAGCCCACAGATTCAGCCCATAGTGGGCTTGGGCAGCCCACAGCCCACACCCCCTCTTAACCTAACCCTAATTAACATTAGGGTGGTGTGGTGGCTGCGTTTTTTGGTAGAAAAAGGCATAAATAGGGCAGCAACGTGGGAGAAGAAAATAGCCATGGGATTCCAAAGAAAAGGAGGAAAACAAGGCAGAAAAGGAAGAGAAAGAAAGGGAAGAATACAAGGACAATGTAGAGAGGCTGTTCTCAATCATCTAGTAGTGTTCTCATCTCAGGTTAGATCAAATCTATAGTAGACTCTTGCTGTGATTACTTGGGGAGGCTTTTAGATATTGTAGGTAGTGACGTGATCCTTGTATCCCAGTTATTCTCTTGTGATTGTTGCTAGGGTTTAGGGCAAGAGATTGATATTTGTATATTCATTATTCTCATAGTGGATTATCTCTAGTTTACCCCGTGGTTTTTACCCTTCACATTGAAGGGGTTTTTCACGTATATCTTAGTGTTCTATTTTATTGTCGTTTCATTTAATTCCGCTACGTATTAAGGTCTTCTAGTATTTGTTCATATACAAAGATTATTCCTGTTTATATCCCCATCAGTAATGACAGATCACGGCCATATTATTAAAAGCTTGTGGTAAGAATGGGTTTCGCTCTAGTGCCCGGAAATAATATTCCAAAGCCTTTGTATGCTCTCCGTTGCTTGTGTGTATAAGGCCTATGTTATAGAGTATATAACTTCGATCATAGGGATCAATTTCTGGTCGCGTAGCTTCATAATAATTCTGTAAAGCTTCCGCATAATTTCCTTCATATTAAGCCAACATCCGTTACGGTCGTTCATTCTATTCAAAGAATCTCCGTTCCAGAACCGTACGTGAGATTTTCATTTCATACGGCTCCTCCCTTCTGTGCATAGTACTAAAGGAAATAATCCATGGAATTAAAATTTCACTATTCTCATTATGAACTGACAGGAGCTGGTATTTTTACAAGAAATTTCTAGCCAGCCTTCCCGCAAGAGTTTTTTTCTTAACACCAATCGTATTAGTGCTAGATGGAAATGGTAACTCCAACAATTTCTTTGTCCTCAACGCCCCCTATTTCCAGGAATTAGTCACTTCAACTATCTTTGATGGTTATACGGGTACCCAAAGTACGAACGAGATGGATGTTTGTTGTCCCAACCATTCTTGTTGGCCTCGATAGCGATAAGGAAAAGGGTAATTTATAACAAAGTTTTTGTGTTGTTGATTCCTAGGTGTAGTGCTTCTTGTTGAATCTCGTATTTTAATGATGAAACCAATTGATAAGTATTTATGATTTGATCTACGTTTTTAGTGATGTAGGATGCTTCGATCAGCATGAGACAATTAAAGTAAGAAGAATCATGTTGGGTTGGTGGAACATGTTAGAAGATTGGACGTCGAGTTGGAGGATCGATCGACGTATTGACAGAAGATTTCGGGCTATGGATTCGGGCATCGGGCCAAGAAAAGTGGATATTGCGCCAAGGATATCAGAGTTGCGGAGTCAACTGGCCGAT